CCAGTTTCGCCCTCCTAGCCCCTCTATCTTGCACCCCGAACCCCTCCCCTTTTTAAAAACTCCTTTTCTTCACTCCCCACCCCCCTTACCCATCCTTTTCTCTGTTTCTCCTTGCCTTCAACGGACTGGCAACATAGTGTTTTCCTGTGTTCGACCTGTCAGTTTGGAAGTAAGGCGTCATATTTCCCTTGTTTCGATTTGTCTCTCCGAGTTTACCTTCTCTTGTCCTTGTTTTGTCAAACTCGGGAGCTGATCAGTTGTTCGAATACCATACTACTCCTTGCGAATTTTCGACGATTGAATAAGCTCTGATTGTTTTTTTGTTTTTTTCTCACGAAGCCTCCTTCCACTTTGCTTTTTATTACGTGTGGTTGGAGGGCTCCACTGGTTGATCCTTCTTCTTTATTTCACCCTACTGTTTTTGTCTCTCTTTCTTTTTCGCTGCACTCAATTACTCTTATAGTATCTGTAGTTTTTTTTTCCTCCTAGTAATACGAAGCAGTTCTTACATGCAATGCTTTTTAAAAGGTCACCGGCTATTTTGTATCGTACAGATGTTTTCTATCGGTTGTGTGGTAGAAGGAAGGCTGTTAATGATCAATCAGCTTTTGACAAAGGGTTGGGTTTCATTTATAAAAGCCTGCAAGTCATCGATTATGACCTGTGAGCTAAACAGACAGTATGAAAACGGGAGTGAAAGCGAATGAATTTCGGGGAACGCTAAGAATTATCACACACCGTGGCCGTTTCTTTTTTCCTCTTTAAAATTTTTTAATCAATAAATATACTCAAAATGACACTGTGCCCTTCATCACAACAGCTGATTACAAGCAATGTTAATTTTAATTCAAACCATTCGAAGTATTGTTCGAATAATTGTAACTACTGACCAACTGCAGTCTCCGAGTGTTCGATTGCGTTTGAGATCGGCCAAGTCGTCACCAGCCCCTGCCTGCTGGCAGAGAGACAGACCAGGAAGTCGCGCCTGCCTCCGCTCTCGATCAATAATAATGCCGCCCGGGCTAAAAATGGCTTAAAAAATCGGTGTTGTGGTTAGAGACCCTGTGTATGGAACGGACGTTGCTTTTTTTTTTTTTTTTTTTT